GGCTCCTCACTGTCATTTAAAAAATATTTTTATTGAAAGTCAATGCCTTTTACCAACTTCCAGAGAATTTAAAATGTTTATTTGAATACATAAAATAAGAGTAAGAAATTTTTTTCTGACTTGAGTAGTATGTGACTTCTAATAAATCTGGAAGTTATGAAAAATGGCTTTAATATTTTTATGCTATTTCTGGATTTCCTAAGGTTGTCCCATGTCTGTTTTTTCCCCCATGTCCATGTGTAGCCACAGAGAGTGCAAACACATCTGGAACTTATAAACACAGAAATTTGACTTTTAGAAAATGCATGATGCCATTTGAAGATGCTGTTCTTACAGTTTAACACCTGCTTTGCTGGTTTTGGAAAATGTCTGTGTAGTGTCTGAGGAAACAGCTCTTCTAATTGTTGGGTTTGGAATATTCTGAGACAGTTAGAAAAGCAGGCTTATATGAATGTAAATGTTTGCGATTAGACCCTCTACGGCAATAAGAAAGGCCTCTTCTGTTTATTCCTTCAAGATATAAGGTGATGATGTTTCTCCTGTCTACTTGCTCCCACAAATGATCTACCTAGCCCACAAATGTCAAAGTGCTCTTCTCCTATCCCTGCCAATACCCTTCCTTCACCTTCTGTGTGTTAGTGTGACTATTGCTGATGAGCATGAGGAAGAGCTCAGTTCAGACCTTCCCTTCTGCTTCCAGGTTGCTGTTCACACCTCAGAGATGTTGTCCCCAGGGAGGCAGACCTGTCACCTCAGCATTCCCTGGCAGAAATCACCTGTGAGTCAGCAAGACCCATTTAGCACTCCCCAGCTGAAGCACCTCCCGAAAATACAGTGGGATGTTTGAGGCAAATACTGTCAGCCTCCTAAAATACTGTAGGCAAGTTCAGATCCCTTTCCCCCCGCCACTACTCCGTAATTATTTATAATATGCTATACATGACAGGCTGGTAAAATACACCCAGCCAAAACCAAAACAAATGGAAGTGTTGCCAAGTTAGCAATGCAAAAAGGGAGGAAGTGTAAGACAGAAGATAAAATGGTGAAGCAGATTAGTGACCTATCAGTCTGTGACTAGTGCATTGGTTTGAATGAAGAATTTAAGCTTAATGTTTGTTAATCCTTATGAAAGGTAATCTCAATAATAACATTTGTTATTAATTTAAAAAAAAAGAAAAAATAAAGACACTATAACATTTAATACTTCGGGGATCTTTTAAAATACAAGTTCCTTAGGATCTAACTTTTACAAATTATAGCTCAGAAGTATCCAGCAAATAATTCTGATGGTTATTCCTGACAGTCAGCCTACTTTTACCAAGAGTGGCTTGAAACAACCAACGAAATTGATGTCCTGCCCTGTTCTACAAAATATCTGCTTTTACATTTCCTTGCTATTACAGCCATGAGCATGTTTGGCTTCTCAAAATATTACCTTTCAATGAAAACTGTGTATCTTATTTATTCAGCATACGTTCATGATACTGTCACTGACTTCTTGCACACTGACAAGTCCAAAAGACACTTGTGTGTCATTTTGGGACTGCCACCCTGTATTCCTAGATGCTAAATTATTTATATCAATAAATCCTAATCAGATTCTGTCATTTGCATATTGCTGTGAGAAGCTATGTATCACTGTTGGAAGATAGGAGCAGGGAATAGGAGGGAGCAGATAAAATCTTGACACCACATTGTTTAGCACGTGCGATTGCACATTTAAGATTTTGACAGTATTTCCATGAAAATGACTGAGGGAGAAGCAGCATTTCAATGGACATTATTTCAAGATTTTAATGAATAGGTGTTTTAAAGTGAGGTTGGAGAAAGGAGAAAATAGTTTGGCATGAGGAGGAAGGCTACACAGACAAAGGTGGGAGAAAACACTTAAAGGTTAGGGTATTTAGAAAAGTTGACAGAATAAGAGGAGGGTATAAAGAACTGTTCCTGTGTTATGTAGGTAAATCTGATTATTTCCTCTGTTTAACTGGGAGAATGTCTGTCGGGTTTTCTGGGTGATTCCTGAAGGCAAATGTCAATACAGTCAAACCATAGTGGTGAGTACTAAAGAACAAGACTTGTGTGAGGAGGAGCTGCTGTGGGGACATGTGGGCTTGGCTCACACAGAGGGAACACTCCAGCACATCTCTCCTCTGCCACTGGGGCTGCAGGAACTCACAGCAGCTTCGTGATCCGAAGGGAAGTACAGGTACCCTAAAGGGAAAACGCAAAGCTTCTTCCTGTGCTGCCCATGCAACCACCAGCACTCGATTCCTGGCTCCACACCTTGCTCCTCTTCAGCTACATTAGCTCAGAATCAGACTTTCAATGACATGCTGCTGAGCCAGTCTGTCTGCCCAGGCTTACAGCAGTCCTGTGGCTGCTGTGTGATATTGTTTTGGTCTGATTTCATTGATTAGTTGGTTACTTTCTAGTTCGGCTCAAAAAAGAGTGTCAAGTAGGTTTTTGTCTGTTTCAGTTGTTTTTTTTCTTTGTGCCATTCTAGTTTTCATTCAGAGCAAGAGCATTCAAATTTCAGACAGAGATTCTTTGACTAGAAAATTAAGTGCATTTCTGTCCTGTAGCTTTTGCAGATAGAATATCCGGTTAATTATTTTCCAAGGTGCTTAAGGTCCCTAAGAAACCTCTATTGTCTTGTGGGGAGGTAAGATTATGTACAAACCCATAGAAAAGGCAAACAAGGCATGCAAAAATGCCCCTTTCCCAAGAGCCACATGCTGGCTCTCCGCTGAGGATCCCGGAGTATTTAGACACCATTTGCAGTCCTGATAGTCTCTAAGCTGGAAGTCCATAAATCTGCTCTGCCTCCAGACTGCTCTGGCCAGCTGAAGTTCTGTTCTGCATGAACTGGTCCCTGTGCTGGCCCAAGGGCTGCAGCCTCAGCTCCCCAAAGTCTGCAGCATCAGGATCCCAGTGCGTGTTTCTGGGAAGGCACAATCAGACCCCTCCACTGAGCTGCAGTTTTCATCCCACAGGAAGAAAATCAAAGGTTTTTTATTCAGTTGGTCTTTGATTATACCTTTTACATGGTAAAATAAATTATTAAAAAAACCAATCTGCATAGAAGGATTAGGATGGAAACAAAAAATAGCTACCTGGAAGCCTGAAAGACTTGTTTCTTTGTACATCTACAGTGAGGTTTAAAATGAGAAGTGACATAAGTGACATTTTATTTCGGAATTCCCCATCTTCTCCAAATTCTTTATGTGAATTTGTGAAACAAACTCAGGTCCTGAAATGTAATGATCAAGAGTCACCTACACACAACTTACACAGACACAGACAGAGAGGGGAAAACCTCTTTTGTTCTGAGCACTCAGCTGTAGACATCTTGATAAGAAACAAGTTTATATTTGAACTTGTAAAACCGTAATTTCATCAGGAAATCAAATTACCAAGATGACATAATTCTCTGGTTAAATACCGGCATACAAAAATTAAATCCAAGAAGAAGTGGGAGAGAAATGTAAACCTCATTTATTGAAAACTTGTGTTATAGTTCTCTTTGCTATTTCAACATACTTAATTAAGTTTCTCTCCCTCTTGTTTTTGTATTTTGTATGTCTCCCCTGTTCTTGTTGAAGCCTAGACTGCAATATCTTCAGTCCTAAGGCAGAAGATCTTTCCAAGCCTAGGAGACAAGTGACAGTGAGATGTGCCAATCTGTCGGCATGGGAGCACTCAGGGTCACAGACAGGGCGGTGCTGGGGACAGGACCTGAAGCTGGAGCTTGCGGTGCTTTCAGCGGGCGTGGGAGGTGGATGCAACACCTTGAGAAACGCTGGGAGCATTTACGGCGTTGCTGAGAAGCTGAAGGGAACAAAGTGTGCAGAGAACTGTTCCAATGTCCTGCCTGTGGAGCAGGGTGCTCGTGACTGGGGACAGGGCTGCCCGCACATCTTTGACTGCAGTCAGGACCGAAGCCCCAGCCGTGCTGTGGGGCAGCAGGTACACCCTGACAGACCAACTTCGTGGGACTGACGCTGCTCCCAAAACACCCGGCTGAGCACTCCGTGAATAAATGTGGAAAATGGAATAAAACCATAACTCTGGAAAACCTCCGCGTATTTCATTCCCGCCGTCGCCTAATCACCCACTATTGCCAATTTCAAGAATTACGCATAAAAAACAAACCATAGTAGTAAAACAAGCCGTCGTCTTTCACAAAGACGCATAATCTGCTTAAGATTGTTCTCCCATTCATCGAGGATGTTGAGACGTTCAGCTCACTCCTCCCTCCTCCTCCCGAGGCGCCCCAGCGGCGCTCGGAGCATCGCGAACGGCTCCGGCGCTGGCAGCTGCCGGCCGCGAACCCCGACACGGAGCGGCAACCCCTCCTCTCCTTCCTTCTCCCTCCTCCTCGCCCCCATCCCTTCCCTTCCCAGCCCTGGTCCGCCTCCGTCACTGCCGCGCCGGGCGCCCGGAGCGGCGGCCGCTGCCCGGGGGCGTCGGTGGGCGCTGCCCGCCCGCGGCCGCGCGCCCCGCCTCCCCCGCCGCCCGCCAATCAGAGTGGCGGCTGCTTCGGGCCGCGCCCCGCCATTGGCCGCCGCCGCTGTCAGTCAGGGGCCGCCCCCGCGGAGGGGCGAGGCGGGCGGGGGGTGCCGGCTCCGAGCGGGCCGGGCGGCGGCGGCGGCGGCGCTGCAGTTGCGCCATCTGTCAGAGCCCCGGTGGGAGGGAGAGAGGGAGCGCCCGAGCCGCGCTCGCCCGGGCGGAGCGGAGCGGAGCGGAGGCGAGGCGAGGCGGCAGCGCGGACAGCCCGTGAGAGCTCATCCCTGCCCAGGCTGCGGCTGTGCCGCCTCACGGAGCCGCCGCCTCCGCGCCCGGCCGCGGCTCGGCGCAGCGCGTCCGCCCCGGGAGAGGCAGCGGCGCCCGGAGCGGCGCCCCTCGCTGCGGGCGGGCGGGGGCAGCCGGCGGAGGAGCGGAGCGAGGAGGATGCGAGTGCGGCGGCGCCGCCCCGGCCCCGCGCTGCGCTGAGCTGAGCCGAGCCGAGCCGAGCCGAGCCGAGCCGAGCCGCCTCAGGTAACGGAGGGGCCGGAGCCCGCCCGGAGCAGCGGGGGCGGGGGGATGGATGCATGCATGCAAGGATGGATGGATGGGTGGATGGATGGATGGATGGATGGATGCTGCGGCGGGTCCGTTTCCTTTGTGCGCCCGAGCGCTGGCGGGGTGCGGGGGCTCCCGGCGAGGGGAGGCGGCCGCGCTGCTGCGGGTCTCCCCCACGCACCCACACGCGGACCCCGCGGCCGCAGCGCGGGCAGGGCCGGGGCGGCCCCTGCGTGCCCGGGGGTCGCGGTGCCGCTGCCCCCCGCCCCCGGGGGCGCCGGCCGGGGAGAGGGGAGGGGGCGCAGCACAGGGACGTATTTGTTGTCGCCGAACTGCGAAAAAGGGGAGGGGGGAGGAATAAATAAAAAGACCTTCTCTCCCTCTGAAATAAATCGTATAGGATTTGCGCGTCTGTGACAAAGGCCTCTTTCAGGGAAGAAAGAAGGGACGCACAAAATGCCCAAGGGTGGTAGGATGTGAAAAGAGGCTTGTTTCTTGTGTCTCCCCTAGAGCCTCTCTGTTCCTTCCCAGACGAGGCCGCTGATCTGGTGCCAGTTCCTTTTCAGCTACATTTGAGATTAGGGAGAGATACCAAACGCCACGCCATGGGTGCCAGCGTTTTGCTGCGTCTGCAGAGCCACGGTGTACGTGTCGCCCGACCTCCTTAATAATGCTCAGTTTGGCCTCTGCTTCCTCGGGATCTCGCCCGGTTTCTGCTCCGTGAGGGTTCTGCGTGTGCGTGAGCGCTGGGAGAGGGAAGGGGTCACTTTGTGGGGACAAGCCCATGGTACCTCGGTCCCTTCAGCAGTGACGGGGAGGGCAGCGCTGAGTAGGTGCTGGTGGAGAAGGTGTGGGCTGAGTGGAAAGCAGCCCTCTGCAGTTGCTCATCCGTCACTCTGATATGCTCTGATTCTTAAAACGCTAAATAACGAGTGACCAGGGCGGACCGGGCTTTTGAAATGCACAAGACTGGGAACGCCTTTGAGACCTTGTCATTTTCCTCCGTGTATACAACCTCCTTAACTCCCACATCCTTCCTTCCACCATCCCTGCAGCTGTAACACTTTTTAGTATCTCCTTCCCACACCCCTTTTTGTTTTCTTTTCTTTTTTCCTTTTTCTTTTTTCCTTTTTTTTTCTTTTTGTCTTGATGTGTTTCTAACTAGCATTCTGGAAGCTGAGAACAGTTGCAGGTGAAGATCTGTTTGTTTATATGCTGGTGGAGGAAGTGTTTTCATTAGGGTTGACTCGCCTGGTCTCCCATGAGGAGGAACAGTAAGCTAAAGGGACACTGTCAACTTGAAATCCAGAGAATGTGCATGATGAATGGAGAGCTGTGTCCAATATTACACCCACCGTCGAGCTCCCTGCTGGAGATCTGTGGTTTTTATAAGCCTGTCTTCTGACTGTGTGGGTTGGTCATGCAGTGAAGGAGTAAAAACACACTTCAAACAAAGTCCTGTTAAGTGAACAAAGAAGTGCAGAAGAAAAATACCAGAGTGGGAAGGGAGGGGAGGCAACATCTCCAACTTCTCAGTTACATCCACTGTAGGATTGACCCAGTGGGAAACTGGAGGGGCTACAGTTCATTTTTACAGTTGCACATTTATTTAGTATCGCTAAAGTGGAAAGGTTGTTACTTTTGCCCCAGTGGTTCAGGGGTTTTCAGCACCTTGATGTGCGTACTCAGCAAACTAGTAGCACTTGATGGATGTCAGTAGGTCAGTGTCTTTTCACAATGTGAAAAGAACAATTTTAAGAATGCTATCTCTCGTGAAAAAGACATTGGGTTCCTTCTTGAGCCCTTCTTACCCCATGAAGTTATAATTTTGATGAAAAAGAGAAAGATTGCCTAATTAAGGCTTTAGAAATTTGTATTTTGTTAAGAGTAGGCTGCAGATTAATTGAAATGTTCAGATGCTTCTTAGAGGGTGCCTGTAAGCATCCTTCCACTCCACCTCCAACAAATTACTGCCTCATCTGCGTGGCTCGTCTTTGGCAAAAGAAACAATTTTCAATACAAAGTTGTCTGATGGTAGGCCACTGGCTGTGGTGTTTTGTGGTTTATGCTTCAGGCATGTTGTTTGAGAAACTCTGTGTTGCCTGCTGGTGAAAGACACAGTGTCATAAAATACCAGTTAAGTATAAAACTCTGAACAGCGTTCTCTGGAAATTATTTTGGTGTTGAGTAAATACACGTCTTCAGTGAGGGACAAATGGCTTTGGCATATGGGCATGGCAGTCACTGTAAGCCAGAAATGAATTAGGTGGTGTAAAGAAGTTGGATATTAATCATTTTAACAAGTGTCTTTAAAAGTTAGGACCCCGTGGTAAATTTCTATTGAGTAAGAAAATGAGTATTCATATGAGAAGAAAAACATTGCTGAGGAACTTTTTATTTTTGACAGACTACAACAGATTCCACAATACCTTTATGTGAAATAGCTAAATGGTGTCATCTGAAATCATGAGTGGAGTCTGATATGGTGAGGGCCTCTGTGAGCACTGGCCCTGTGGCTTAGCTGAACACACTAATCTGGACATGGTGTCTTCAGCACTGATTTACAGTGTAATAAAATTGTGGCTAAGGTGAGTGAAAACCGCCCAGCACACTTGTGATGATTTCACTCTGTAATATGGTAATATGGTACATCTACAGTATCACATGTTTAATTGTGTTAAGGAAAGTATAGATCTGTTTGCCATCTCATGCCCAATTATTTTATTTAACCAGCACCTTCACTCTTCTGTCTTGCTGCATTACTGTGCTTTTTACTTCAGGGAGAAAAAGAGTTGGAGGCATGTGCTTTCACTTCGTCCTTCTCTCTGGGGTGCACATTAATATTTGATTCAAACTTGTTCTGTAAAGTTCTGCTTAATTCAGTTTGGGCACTACTTTGAATGTATAATAATGGTGTTTGTTTGTGTCATGGACAGTGCTTTGTAATTTGCTTTATGGGCAAGTCTGCTGCTGGCAGTGTGTATTGTCAAAGTGACCTTCCTTTCAGAGGGAGAAAACCAGTAACTCCTGGCCCTCTCCCACCCCTGCAGCTCCCACAGAAGTGTCTTCACAAGTCCCTTTGACCCATTACTCCAAAACCAGGACTTGAACCGACAAATCTGGTTCACCCGAGCAGTCTCATTGAAATCCAGCAATTAAGGATTCCTTTGGTGACAAAAGGCCCACGGATCTGCATTGTGCAAGCCAGCCATTTACTTGAGGCGAAGCCCACAAAAGGGTTTGTGTGCCTCCGTGAGGAGCACCCTGAGCTGTGATCCCTGGAGACGTGGCTGCTTGCTGTGCCATGCTGAACGCTCTGTGTACCTCAGAGCTGAGATCCCAGCAGCCAGGGAAATGCTGCCAGGGCCGCCCAGTGCAAAGTGCCTCAGAAGGAGGTGAAACTTCAGGGCTGCATCTGCCTGCCTGCTGGGTGTCTCACTTGGTACCACGGTGGCTTAAGGTTAGCTATTAGAGGCTAAAAACCCTAACCTTCTTTTGGCGAGGTAGCAATAATTTATTTATATATTAAAAAAAGAAAATACACCAAAAACCCAAACAAACAAAAACCCCTGACAAATTACAAAATTACAAAACCCAAACAAACAAACAAACAAACAAAAAAACCCAACCAGCTTTGCATTTCAGTAGACGATAAACATGCAGGCGTAGAAGAATTGGGATTTCTAGCATTTGCATCCTGCCATGGGTTTTGCCCTTAGTGCCTGACTTGCAGACAGAGGAATGGCAGGTGCAGATGAAACATGAAAGGCTGAAGCTGTTTCGGTGCATGCGGTGTGTGTGTGGCTCTCCTTGGGGAGTGAGAGCCCCGTTAGCGCTGTGCTCCAGGGCAGCCTCGCCTGCTGCCTCAGGCAGGGCTCTGGTTTCGGGCAGGCAATCTGCCTCCTGCTTTGACAGTGGTCAGGTGAAACCTGTCCGTGGGAGGTGTCCTTGAGCCCTGAAACTGGGAACAGGCCTGACCTTACAGGCGTTGCAGTACCCTGTTGCTGTCCTTGCCACTGGCTGCGGGAAAACAATCGCATTTTTTAGGGCTTTTTTGGAACTTCAGTTCACTTGGAACGGAAACAAAATTGAACGGTATCACTGCTTTTACTGGGGGAGGTGAAAAATCATATTATTTCAAGTCAGTCAAAACATGATGCCTCATCTTGCTTCTGACTGTTCTAAATGGTAACTTGCTGTGAAAGCAAGGATTTCAACTCAAAATACTGCCACCTGTTTGGAGCAAAATAGAACCTCTGACACCTTGACTTTTTACTGGAGTATAAAATCAGCAGCAGTTTTACAGAGCTTTAAGGTATCGATAGAACTAAATCATCTGGCAGAAAATGACTGTCAGATTTTTCCTGACCAGCTCTATTCCTTGTATACCATGACTTTGAATGAATGTTTTTAATCTGAAAAAGCTATCAAAAAAGATAGCCTGGCAGTATCAACTGATTTGAATTAGATGGTCTGGGTTAAATCTTTTTTCCAAGAGGGATGAAGACAGCAGATTAATTTTAAACTTGCCCTTCTTAAAATGCAGCTCCTTTTTTTATATCAAAGACATCCCAGTTTGAATGGATGATGTTGGTTGTGACAAGATGCTATGGGGAGAGGTTAGCCCACATTTTCCTGCCCAGCTTCTCCTGATTCAGAGAAGTCTTGCAGCTCTGAAAGTTGCCTCTCCCACACTATAATTTTTTAAAGTATCTGTGAGTAATAAGTCCTTCTTGCTTAAGGCAGAAACCTAAATTTTTAGAGCAAGTTCATTGATGTTCATCCTACTGAGATGTGGTTTAATGTGGTGAACTCTACAAGGCAGCAGCAATGTGAGAATGTTTTGATGAGAAAGGGGAAGGTGACCCTTCTGTGCTTATTTGTTTTGCTCTGTTTTGGTGGATTTTTTAGGAGGCAACAATGACTGGAGGCCTTTTCTGGCCTAGGGAAATTCTTTGTTCCATTCTGCTTTCGGT